AAAATGCTAAAATCCTCACTAGTCATTGCTTTGTATGATATACGATCTATGAGGTACAAAACATATTTCTGATACATAATGTTGGCTCCATAAATATTAAATACACATGAACTCTGATAATTGGCATTTACTGAATAAATGGAAAAAATGAAGTGTATAAAGTGATATTTGTAGAAGTCATTTATATGCTTAAGGCTACATTCTGCTATTATCAGTTCTCTCCTAGTTATTTAACATAACCTAAAGAAATGATGACTTAGCATTTTGTGAACTTTCAAATGCAAATTTCTTTACCACCAGTAATTTTTAAGGATAATAGTCTAATTAGAAATATTTTAATCTGGGTTTTATTAATGGTAGGAAACAATTTGATGATATCATTTTTAGGTCATTAATGAGTCTGCATTTTTTTCTGACCTATTTAATTCAATAATAATGTATCCTTACCTACTTTCAAATGTAGACAGTAAATTTAGCAAGGATTAAGAAGGGATTAAATATTCCCAGGTTACTACCAGAGAGAGGCTTAAGGCCTAGGAGAACTTGGCTCTGTAGGTCTGTTAACTGCATTGTCAGAAAATTATCACGAATTCCCCCAGGAGCACAGCACTTCAGAAACCCCAAGGTCTTTACTTATCAAAAGAAAGCAGTGCAGAGTTAGGGTTCAGAGAGCAGGCTCTGTATTCTCAATTACTGGCCCATCGCTTATTAACTATGTGACCTCAGTTTCCTCATCGGTAAATCAGGATAGTAATAGTTCCTGCCTTACAGGGCTTCTGTGAGGATTATATGAGACATACATTTAAATGCTTAGCACAGTACCAAGATGAATAAGAATGGTAGCTATTATTCTGTACATTCTGAATAAAGTAGACAGAGAAAATGTAGACTGCTAAAGAGTTCAGAACTGGTTCAGAATTTGGCTGTGTAATAAGGACAAGATACTTTGAAGTCAACAGGGTATTGACCAAAAGGCCACCTTTGTTTGATACATCTACACTCCAAAGTTCAGAACCACTTATCCTACCTGGCATTTCAATTGATGAGAATGAATTTGTTTAAGGTATCCTTCTCTTTGATCAATGATTGTATAGCATGATTGTATAATAATGTCTAAACCTCATTTTCTGAAAACCTAAGTAGATTATGGAGTAAAGACAGCTTTGTCAATTTGTTATTCTTTCTAAATTACCATAAACTGGCTACTTAATTATACTCATTTTGTATTTTCTTTTAAACATTAAAAAAATGTACTCCTACTTTGATTCAAGCAACCATATGTCCATAGTGTAAGTAAAGCACACCCACAGCTGATGTTTAAGCTAATGAAATGAGAAATGAATTACATACCAGCTTTGAATAGTTCATTTATGCTGTCAGAGTGAGAAAGTAGTAGTTTCCGTCTGTATTTCAGAAATTAAACATTTGCTTCTGAAAGATTTTATTTTAATTGGAGCTAATATTAATTCATTAGTAAAAGACCCTTAGAGGAGTTAAAATGAAATCATTTTGCACTAAGAAAAAGGCTGTGTTGTATTTTTCTTAAGATATCCTAAATCTTTCTCACATTATTTCACAGAGCAGCGAAAAACAGACCTTTACATGACTTTAATTTTTCTTTTTTTTTTTTTTTCTGCCAAAATCTACATAGGAAGATGGTGGGAACAGTGTCAATAATAACAGATTGAAAGTATTAATAGAATTAAATTATTAGTGTATTGCACACTTGTTTGATATATGAGAAAAAACATGTTTTAGTGGGAATGATTATAAATAAAGCTCTGTAGCCTGCAGGTCCCTACAGCTTTGAGAAGACATCTCTTTGTACTTAATTATGTCTTTAGAATGAATAGAGAATATCACAGAGGCTGGAAGCCATTTTGTCCTGTTCTTTAGAGTAGTAGTTTTGATGGAAGGTTTGCTGTCTACTCTAGAACCTGAAGGAAACGTGAAATAGCTGGATACATTTTCTTAGAAGTTTCCACCTCTTTAACGCTACAAAAAGTAATGATTAACTCATTAAACAGATTTGAATGTTCCTATAAGCCTGCATAAATATATTATTGGAGCTTTTCAATTGTTAACAAAACCTAAATCACATTTAAATGCAAGCTGGACATGTTTCATTGTACCTACTCTTTGTTTGACTTTTACATAGTAATTAATCAATTAATCTAATCACTGAATTAATTCAGTCATTTACTACATGCCAGGCTAGCCACTTAGGATATAAACAAGATATGTTACAAGGAACAATTGAAAACTTATAAATATATGATGTGTTCATAAAACAACTTACTGAGTGTCCATCATTTGGGGGATACTATTATACTTAATGGTAAGAGCAGGTTCCATTCATTAGAGTAGACTTAAAATGAATCTGAGGATAAGCAGAATTTAGGCATGGGAAGAACTATGCTGTGGAGTGAAATAGTAGATGCTGATGACTAGAGACAGTGGGGCTAAACGTTGTCAATGGATTTGGGATATATTTACGTTGTAGAGTAGATGGCATTTAGTGGGTATTTGGATGTAAGGAATAAAGAAGAAGTATAGGAGGTCAAAGAAAACAACCGGGTTTTTTTCATGGGTGACTGAGCATCAACATAGAATACAGTAATGGAAAATTAGGTTTCCTGGGTTAAAAAATGTGTTCACATTTAGATAGAATATGTTTGAGGTGTTATGAAAGATTCAGGTAGAATTTTGCCATTGTCAACTGGATATACAGTTCTGAAATTAAGGAAGAAGTCTAGATTTGAGATATGCTTTAAGAGTCATATGCATATAAATGAGAATTATGGTTTAAGATTGTTTTTCCTATGCAAAGGGTATCAGTTTGGTCTCCTTCTTGCTTTGTTTTCCCATCCACTGAAAGGGAGAACGTGATTTGAGGGATTCTCACTGTAAAGTGGTATTACCCAATCGAAGGTTCTGTTATCCAAAAGGTTACTGTCATAATAGCCATATCTCCACTCTTCATGCAATAACTGAATGAGTTAGAAGGAAACACTACACTCCATGTTCAAATTATGAGTCCTTTATTTAGCTGGAGACTGAGAGTTAGCTAACATTCAAAATCTCTCGGCCCCAAGGAAGGGGCTTGATTCCCCTTTATACCTTGATTTAGGTAGGGGAGGGGGCAGCCTAGCTGAATCAGAATTTTACAGAAGCAGAGCAAACAAGTTAGTAGGAGGAGGCTGGTAATCAGTGGGGCAGGAGGTTCTCAGGGTTCTTAGCAACCCTTGTTGGTTGCTAAGGGTATTTCCATACAATCACTAAGTGGGGTAGCAGGGAGAACTTTCCATACAATCAATCACCAAGGAAGGTATTCACAATAGCAGATAGACTTGCCCAGCAGGATGCAGTTACAATGGTTACAGGTGCTGGGAACCCTGTGAACCACTCTTAATGGTTCAAAGCTTTGCGTGCAGTGTGACCCAGTAATGCACCTGAGGGGCTGCAGCAGGGAGGGAGAGGCTCGAGAGAGCCTTGTCAGGTTTGCAGCTAAGATGGCATCAGTTAGGCTAACTCAGGTTAGGTTGTTACCTTCAAAACAGTAATCACTAGTCACATGTATGTGTTAAGCATTTGAAATGGGATGAATATGGCTAAGGAATTGAATTAAAATTTAAGGCTAATGAATTTAATTTTTTAGTAGCCACCCGCAGCTAGTAGCCACCTTTTATTGGACAGTGTGCCTAGAGAATGGACAGAGGAGAAGAGCACAGTGGATAATTTCCACAGGTATCGTAGCTCAGAAGTAGGATAAAGGTGATACATTTTAGCAGCTGGAGGAAAGAAGAGACCAGATAAAATGAGTTCCCGTCTATATCACCAACATTTCCTCATATCAATAACACAACAGGTAGGATCGCAACAGATGGTATGCCATACATACAGAAAAAGGCTTAAATGTAGAAAAATAATGTTGATTGGTATTTTTATACCAGTTAAAATATTTCTGTCTTCTAGCTTTAGAATTGTTTCTGCTAAAAATCAATCTTTTTATCTGACATCTCCATATTGGGCAGAGGCTTTCTCAATATGGCATAGTACATTTGTTTGAGTGTAGATTCTGCATTTTGAGAGTCTGAATTCATATCTCTTTTGTTACACGTTAACAGAATGAATCCATGTTCGAGTCTTGATTTCTCTGTGTCCCAGTTGTTAAACTATTAATACTCGTTAATACTGGAACTATTTTAAGATTTAAATCACTTTGAACACTTAGAAAAGTAACTTGAGTCTAGTGAAGAGTTAATAACTGTTAATATCATTAACCTTAAAAGTAAAACTGAAGAAATCTTTTTATTTGAAACATTTTGAAGCCTATTTTAAAAAGATAATCCCTGGATTGGCTTACCAATAGAAGCATCCCTGTCGTCATTCAGTGTTTTGTTATTTTAGACATAGTTTGCATATGAGAATGCCAATTCCTTTTCACTAATTTTTTTATTATAGAAAAAAAAACCTCACCAAAAAAGTCTACAATATTTTTATTATTTCTGTAAGGATAGAATTAGTACTTTCAACTAAATTTTCTTCTGTTTAGCAGCTCAATTGCTTTCCTTCTTTAAATGTCATTGTATTTACAATTCCAAATGTTTTACACACCAACTCTTTTCCATAATTTCTTGTGGTTTATGTTGGATAGGATGAGAAGTGATTGTATGGTCCCAAGGTTTTGTAAAAACAAAAATGATGTAAAGGAGAAAGGTAACCTTTTAAAACATTTCTGTAAAAATGCTTTTCGCTGCAGGAGCCTGGAGTTCAGAAAACAAAAACAAAATGCCTTTCATTGTCTTTTGAGTCCTTTTACTTTTCAGCGATCCAGGATGATCCTTCTAAAATTTGTGTATCTCTATATTTTAAAAATATAATTAAAGATCTATTAATCAAATATTTGTTAAAAACAAAATTCTACATTTCCTAGAAACTACTATAGAAATCCAAAAATACAAAGAAGACAATCTTCTCCTTATTCTTTATTTTAACAGTAATTCCTGAATTTGTTACGCAAGTGAATGTTGCCTTGGAAGCCTTAAGCAAGAACTCGTTGAATGTGTTGGATGATAATCAATTTGTGGACATCTCAAAGAAAATCTATGATACGATTCATGATATCAGATGTTCAGTCATGATGATTCGGGTAAGTTTGCTTTTCTTTCTATTGAATTATGGCAATACTCTTTACCATCTGGAATGCCTGGAATGATTGCAAGAAATGCTTTATTTCTATGCTGTAATGTCAGTGCTGAAATCTATTAAAACTGTACAAGTTTATATTTATCCCCAAAGTCAGATCTACTGTCACAAACAACACTTTTACTTATGTATTTGGTTATAACTTACTCAAATGAGTACATTTTACTGTTGCGTGTACAGAAAAGAAATAATTTGTTGGGTGCAGGACTTGTTGAAGGTATCTCCTAGCATGATCAGAAGCCAAAGAAAAATAAACAATTTGCTTTTTATTTTCTTGAACAAAAAGAAAAGAATATTTCTTATCACTGCGGTGGAATTGATGGGAAAATGTGTTAAAACAAGGTATTTTATGGGCAAACCCTCTTATCCCAGATCGCAAAATCACAGAATGTTCTGCAAGAAATCTCACTTGGAGTTGCCAGGAACAACAAACACTTCAATGGTCCCAGTCTGGGAGTTGTCTATTCCACCTTCCCAGGTGTGAGAGCCCCATTGGTTTCAGCCCACTGTATATACAGAAACCACAGTTGATTTCCCTCAATTATTAATGTAAAGTGTTCTTTTAAATATTACAAAGAACGTATATTCTTTAGAAAATGCATATGTAAAGATATGAAGATACCTTATCTTAAGTGGGTTCACCTGAAGGCAGACTCTGAAGTAAGGATTGGTGTTATCAGTAGTCTACTTAGGAGAAAATGAGACAGACAAAGTGAAGCAAAGAAGGGAATAAAACCAAGAAGGTGTAATTATGAGTCACTGCAGGCAACTGGGGCTTGATCCTCCTGGTAAACTCTGGGTGCTACTGCAGAATGCGCCTCAGCAGTTCAGAATTATCTGACCTGACGTGAACAAACTGGAGATTGAGCCACCTATTCATCCTGGGTGAAAAGCTATCCTCAGAGGTGTCACCTGAGCCTCCGGCTCAGGGCCAGTCAAGCTTTTGCAGCCAAAGAAAGTATTTTTCAGGCAGGGTAGCACGTGCTTGCTGTTGGAAGATTCAGTGGGATTGGTGAATCTAATTTTTAAATATGAGTAGAATTCAATTTTTAAGCCTCTGGACTTAACTCTTAGTAAAACTGTAAGATGGAAATAGAAATGCTGAGAATATATGAGTGGAGCGGCGATAGTATTAATATCTGATAGGCATGCATATCACAGGCTATACTGAGCAGTCTGTAAGTCATTTTGTGGACCTTGCAAAGAAAAGGGCCAACAAACATTAGGGAGCCTGGCCGGGCAGAAGGATGCTGCGGAAGAGCTTGTAAGAGAAAGTCTAAAGGCGTCAAGACAGAGAATCTAGTACTTTGAGGCTAGGGAAAATCTGAAAGCAAACCAATTATCCATATCAAAGAGAAACCTCAGGATAAATACTTGTGAGCAGCCTACAAGTATTTTTGTGTGATTAGAAAATTTGGCCTTGCACCAGTGACTATGTCTGAGTAGCAAGAACTTTTATCAGTTTTCTTACTGTAAAATGTTTATGCCTTATCTCTGTGAATTAGTGGACTAGTAATAACCCAAAGCTGGGAAGTAGGTGAATCCAGAAAAGAAATATTAAAAGTGTAAAGAAGACGCATGAACTTCAGAATATAGTCTTGGCAGAGTGAAACCTCCCGATTTTCACTATCCCTGAGTGGATATTTGAAAATATAAACCAGTGAAATAGCACAGGGGAACCAGGGTAGAGAATTCATTTTTTTCTTACTAAAGCTATCTACAACTGAAAAAAAAAATCTTCTAACTTCTCCCAGTTAGACGTTCCAGTGTTTTTAAATTTCTTCATTATCAAGATAGCTTACTTACAGCAAATCAAATTATCTTGCCATTATTTTTATATATTCCTCATATACAGTGGTCCTCTGTAGGGCAGGAGAACAATTTATTGTAATTATTAATAGCCTTTGAGATCATTAATTTTCCCCCCAGTCATCTCTTTTTCAAGATAAATACTTCCATTTCTGTTAACTTTTTCTCATAGGAATAATTTAGTATCGTGTGTTCTTCACTAGTCCTTATTTAATTTTCAACAAACTTCTCAAATGAGACTATCAAAAATACATTCTAATTAATGCCCAATGTCAAATAAAGTAGACTTATTTCTATTTCTACTGATACAGCCAACTGCTGTTAAACTATATTTTTTTCCATTTAAACACTGTGTTTACTGGATAGAGGTTGACGTCCTTTTCCTTTTATTTTTTTTTTATCTTGTTGGTGCCTATGTACACATTCTTTATTTTGATTTGTTGTGTTCTTGTTCTTAAGTCCTAATCCTATTAAACTTATATGATTCTTTATATAATTTATCAGATTGTTTTCCAGTTTGATTGCTGAATATACCACGTTAGCATCAATTAGAAACTCGAAATGCAGAGTGTTAGGTTTTTAATCTAAATTACTAATAAAAACATTAAATTATATTGGCCCTTCCTCCCCAGTTAAGAGCATTGGTGTTGAGAGCCTTTAGAAACTGATGCTCCATGCAACTGAGAACTTGTCTCTAATGGTTTGAAAGAGTGTTTTCTGAATTTTAAGGTAGATATATTATTTCTTTAAGTACACTTTATGGCCAAAAAGATAAAGCAAATAAAATCAGAGCTGCTGTACTTGAAACCAGGCAGGAGTAGCCAGAGGCCCATCGTGTCTGTCTCTATACCCCCAGTTCCCTAAGCAGCCTCTAGGGGCACCTCTACACAACTTCTACAGGGATTCCTTGGAAAACGATCCGTAAACTTACAGACTTAATACCCAACTGGGTTACAGGATAAAAATACAAGTCTCACTTAGGTGCAAGTAAATGAAAATCTATCCATTTTTTTCTTAAAGACTGTCCCTTTTTCACAGAGGATAATAAATGTAATCTGGTATAATCCGCTTTTTACAAGGTCAAATTTAATGCTGACCAATATTCTGGCCTTAGAACTGCAAAGTATTTTATCCTTTCTTCAAGGTACCTAAAAAGTGTCAACATTAAAACAATACATGTATAATTAACCAAGCTCAGAGAGGGATAGACTCTGCCATTGAGGATATTTGTGAGTGTTATATATCCCATTTTATGTGTACTCATCAGTACCCTTGAAACAATGAAATACTAACTCAAGATCAGAACTTGGCATTGTTAGGGTTTCATAAAAATATGATTATATCTTTAGTTTGTTTTGATCAATAATTATGCCGGCAGTTGTTTAAAATTCTAGGATAAATACTGTAACATTTCATGTTGCTATGTAGATAAATGAGGTTATAGACTATTATACTTAGCAAACTCATAGAATAAGCAGTATTAAATATTTTGATCTGTTTCCTATTTCATATATATGTGTAAATTTTACAACTATTAAGCGTTCATAATATAATGGTTAAACTAAAGAAAGAAATCTTACTTTGCCTCCGTTTCCTCCTTTGTAAGATAGACATGGTATTAAACCTACTTCAAAAGATTATTAGGCTGACATGAGTTAATAGAAATGAAATGCTTAATAAATAGTAGGCTATCACAAGAATATAGCTACTGTTACTATTACCACATCGAGTTCATACTTATTAGACCTGCTGAAGCTACTTAATATTTTTGTATATCTTGACAAATGTTAACTACATAAGCATGTCTGTAGAGCAACATGAAGGGCAAAGTCCTAAATCAATAAATCTGTTCCTTTATAAGGCAATGTTTAAATAAGAGGGTACTTACGTTTATTGACATCAGGTATCTAAATTATAGACTATTTAATGCAGATTATGCTTTTGAACCCATATTAGTTTAGGGTAGTATTATAATTCTACACATCATTTTTAAAGACCCCTTAAAACACGAATGAGAACTGAAGTCTCAATATTCATCTTTTTTGGTAAAAGATATTTAACCACAAATGGAGGAAATTTTAAAAGAGAAATGTAATTTAATTGAGAGAGACAGTAGTGTAAGTGGCCAGCAGTGAAGTATCCTCAGAAAAAGCAACAAGATTCAGGTAAAATTATTCCTGTCGTAGGCATTCAGAATGTAGATTTCATGTGTTTTCTTTGTAGATTTTTATATGTGCCTTATCAAAAGCACTTCAAAAATATAGAGATACTTTCCAAAGCTAAATGAGTAGATTTTCAGGACCATAACTCAAATTTGCATTTTCTGTTTGTTTTCTAATTCTATATATCAAGGAATAGGAACATATTTTGCATATCTGACTTGATGGAAGTTAATTTTGGAGGAAACAAAGAAAATTAAGATAAATTTACATGGCCCAGTTTACATTAACTGCTTTTACATGAATCATTTACATGGCTTCTAGAATTGGGACACAGTGTGATATACAATTTCAAGTTATATAACCAATCTTTGGGTCTGATTCTATTGCACCTATAGGAATGAGTCGATTTATGGCTTTTCCTGGAACTACGTATAATTCTCTCAATTGAGATTACTTGTAGTGTCATGACTTCTGTAAATTTCTTTCATTTTCTTCCATAAATGTTTTTTGATTCGTGGCCTTAAAAACATCTCTTCATGATGTGTCTTCCAGACTGAGCTTCTGTCTATTTGAAGTTTCATGCTCAAACTACTAAAGGGAAAGGACTTTACAATTTCAGTTAGTCACTAGTGTAGAATATTATCTTCTCCAATTACAATTCTGTGGAATTAAGTTTGGAAATGGGAAAATACTGAAAGAATATTGCGTAAAATCAGAAGACCTGAGTTCAAGTGTCAGCTCTACATGTTACTGCTTATATTTTTACTTTACATGACATCATCTGTTTCTTCACTGCTGGGGTAAATGGAAGAATACTATGGAATTTCTACTTTTAAGAATCATTGTATGTAAAAGTAAAGGACTGAACAGTGTTTCCTGAGATCCTGAAAACAATGAGACTGTCGATACTTAAATGCAAATTAGGGCCAGGTGTGGTGGCTAATGCTTGTTTGGGAGGCCAAGGTGGGCAGCT